CTTTGCCTCTTCCCAAAGGCAAGCTCCATAAATTCTCATCTATTTTATTCACAGATTATACCCCAAGTGTGCAATGCTTAGCATGTACTAGGTACTCAATAAGCATTTGTGGAACAAATGAATAACCTTGCATTAGATGCTTCTGAAAAATGAAGGTCTCCCTTAAGGTCTTCAGCATGGAGAATTTAGAAAATATATTGGAAAGATACTGTTATAAGCATTGTTGCATGTCAAATTTTAAATTTCATGTAGAACTCGAGGTAAAAGTTATCTTACCTGGAAGTAGAAGGCAGCTTTTAAAGGTAGAAAAATCTAGTTTTTCTAGCAGTTCCTCTAGTATATTACATTGTTAGATATTCCTCAAAAGTGAGAACAATAAGTTTTTCTTTACCCTGCAAGAAAAATGCTGTCATGTTCTGGCACAGATATTTCTCAAATTCAGTGGTCCATGCCACATGGGCCTAACGTTGTGGGCCCTAGAGGAAGGGATTATACATCATTGCTGTTCAAGCACTGACACTGTTCTAAGAATTTATAGCATCATAACTAAAACAAAATGTGTGCTTCCCACATACTCATCTTTCATGTACTACTATTACTTGCATCTAGATATATTTTCTTTAAATTGACATATTACAAAATTAAGTATATCTAAAAAACTGAAGCTTTATATCAGTACCACAAATGGAAAATTAGTACCACTTGCCATAAACAGAAGAGACAAAAAGCATACATATAATGAAAATTTAAAAGTTATTAAATTCCAGCTCGATACTATTGCTGGCCCAATGCTTTGAGTTTGCGGTCTTTTTTATCTTTTTTGAAAATGAAAAGAACATAGATAGGACACCTGGATGGCTCAGTCGTTAAGCGTCTGCCTAAGGCTCAGGTCATGATCCCAGGGTCCTGGGATCGAGCCCCACATCAAGCTCCCTGGTCAGTAGGAAGCCTGCTTCTCCCTCTCCCTCTCCCCCTGCTTGTCTTCCCTCTCTCGCTGTCTCTCTCTGTCTGTCAAATAAATAAATAAAATCTTAAAAAAAAAGAAAAGAAAATGAAGAACATAGAATATTAAAAAAGATATGAAAATATATAATACCAAAACAAAAGTTGTTTCTTTTTGACATTGTCAGTAGAAAGAGAATTTTAAGATGCATCTCAGTGTGTGATTCAGTATTATTCAAGACTATGCCCAGATTTCCCCTATAATATTCTTGTGTCCCTGTGCCATATGGTGGTTAGCATGGACTCTGGAGGGCAATGACCAGATTCAAATGTTGAATCACTTACTGACTCCGAAGCCTTGAGCTAGAGACATAATCTCTCCAAGTTTCACTTTCCTTCACCTGTGAAATGGGGCAAATAGTGCCTATTTTGCAGACTGATGTGACAGTTACATTATAGAATATGTGAAACCACCAACCAGATGCTTTAAAACATGATAGTTCCCTTCTGGTTCAAACAAGATTCTTGGCCTTTAATTTCAAATCCTCCCTGTTCAGGGCACCCATGAATCCACACTGCCAAGGGTACAAAGTTCTCTTTAATGTATTTATGGTTTTTATTTTGTAGTTGACATTTACAACAATACGTCATTATAGGTTGGGGAGGGAGCACTTGTTGCAGATATTCTTATACAGCAAGCCCAGCCAGTTTTGAATGGAGACTGGCAGTAAATGATGGGTCAAGTGAAGTCACTTTGGGAACAAGGATGATCTTTCAGCTAAAAATGCCATCTGTACCAGAGGAGGGCAGGCCCAACATATCAAGATATGAAACTCAGTTGGGCTGACTAGCTCAAAAATAATTCATCAAAATTGGGGAAATTTGCAAAGGTCACCACTGACTCATCAAGAACATCCAACATTTCCAATTCTCTACCCCACATTTCACCCCGACTCCTTCTTCCACTGTGAGAGTAGCATACATTCCAGCAAGAGGAAATTGGCAACTGGAGTATATTTTCTCCATCTGTCCAAACGTAGGGGCAATTGGGGGCTGATGTGTATCTTTAAATTCATATAACTATTAAAATAGCCAATTAGAATTATTTGAATAATTCAAAGGATTTAAGCAGGAAAACAAGAAATATCTGCAAATCAAGAAAGATACAATTATTTTATTTCTCCATGAAACACCAGCTTTAATTCCACATTTTGGAAAGATAGGATGACAATAAATACTCATATGTTTTGCATTTTTTAAAAGATAAAAGCTAGTGAGAAAAATGCAAACTACAGTGAAAGTCTGTGGTTTAAATTCCCTCTTTAGATTTTATAATAACCTTTATCTTCTCGCATTTTCTCCCTTTATTATTAACACAGGACAACCAGATTTCATTATCTCCTTTTAAATTATGTTTCTTATTTCTTTGTTTGGCTCATTTACTTATTTATTCCTTTAGATGTGGGTTGATGAGGGAGGGGTCGAAAAATGAAGACAAACAGAATCTTTCTGTGCCACCTTTCATAAGAGAAGTTAGATTTTATTTTCTTATTTAGATTCCAAGAGAGGCTTCATTAGGCTTAAAGGCGTGGGTGGCAAAGAGATTTTTCTTTGAGGGAAAAGGGGCTTATTCATTCAATAATTATATCTGTGAGTAGACGAGGAAAGGATCACTAAACAAACAAAAGTGCTGAGACAATTAACTATTTGGGGGAAAAAATCAAGTTAAATCTCTTCTTGCCATAGAATAAAAATAAATTCAAGATAGACTATGATTTAGGGGCGCCTGGGTGGCTCAGTCATTAAGTGTCTGCCTTCGGCTCAGGTCATGATCCTAGGGTCCTGGGATCAAGCCCCACATCGGGCTCCCTGCTCAGGGGGAAGCCTGCTTCTTCCTCTCCCCCTCCCCCTGCTTGTGTTCCTGCTCTCGCTCTCTCACTCTCTCTCTGTCAAATAAATAAAATCTTCAAAAAAAAAAAAGATGGACTATGATTTAAATGTGAAAAACAAGTACATGAAACCAAAGAAGATATAACTGATTGTTGACCATAGGATGTAAAAAGAAGAAATCACAATAGAAAAAATAATTACAGATTTGTAAAAATAAATAAATAAATAAAAACAAAAAACAAAAGAAGGAGAAATTATTTTATAGCAAATAAAATTATTATGAGCAAGTAAAACATATAAAGTGTTCCTATTAAATAATAAGAGAAATGTTTAAAACTCCTTTGAAATTGGCCAGAGGACATAAACAAGTAATTCGGTGAGGAAATAAGAATAATGAATACAGAAAATAAATTCTATCTCCCTAGTAATGAAAACACAATGATGGCTCTGGTTCTGGTGAAGATGGGATAAGCAGATTCTACCCTCCTCCTGCTGCTAATTACAAATAAAACCCTGGACCAACATAAAGCAACGATCAGAGGATGCTGAAAGGTGGAATCAGGAAGATGGCTGGGCTACTGAAGGAGAAGGACTTGACGGTGAGTTCCCTGGGGTTTATTTTTGTCTCATGTATATCTTGGTCTGGGTGCTGAGCTGCCTGCAACACAGAACCTCCAAAGGGTACAGTAAGAAAATAATGTCCCAAGAAAAGTCCGCTGCCTCTATCCAGAGGACTGGGAAGAGAGAGGCCTAATAGGATGGATCCCTGTTACCCTACCTGCCCTACTAACCCCACAAAAGAAGCAGCTTCCTCCTCAGCCCACCACACAGCTGTAGCGTATAGGCAGTGTCCCTTTCTTTGCCTCTCCCCAGGGAGTACATCCACCAGAGTCTTGGCATGGGGGCCCAATCAACTCACTCCTCACACCGAGCAGATGCCCCCCGGTGTGACAGCTACAGATAGAGTGGAGTGGAGCTCTACAGGACTATCCACACCCTCACTAAGCAAACGTAAGCAGAGGCAACATCTCTCTTCTTCCCTCCTCACCCTAACCAGAGAGCGGGGAGAGGATGCTGAGAAAAGGAAGCTAGAAAGGAATCACTTATATCTGCGTGCGAAGTCCCAGGTTACCCTGAAGCGGCCCATGCATGAAACCAACCAGAATGAACATGGCAAATGCTCTGAGAACTGAATTATGGTATCACATATCACCCAGGCTTCAGGTTGTCCTCCAGGTAGTGCGCACAAGTGGGGCTGACCAGAATTGCACTACCAGAATAGAGGTGTGTAGGGGATAGGAGAAATAGGTGATGGGGATTAAGGAGTGCTCTCGTGATGAGCCCGGATGCTGTAGTGTTGAATCGCTAAATTGTACACCTGAAACTAATATTACACTGTAGGTTAACTAACTGGAATTTAAAAACTTAAAAAAAAAATAAAGGCTTTAAAATGAAATTGGCATTTGAACCACAGCCTTCAGGATCACAGATACAAAAACTTAACAAAACATTAGTAAATACACAAAAGAATAATGTATCATGACCAAGTGGGGTCTATTTCAGGATACAATGTTGGTTCAATACACAAAAATGAATTAATGCAATCTGCCATAGTTATAATCTAAAGGAGAAAATCTATATGATCGTATTGATTGAGGCAGAAAGTCTTATAAAATTTAACTCCGATTCCTGCTTAAAATTTTCAGCCAAGTAAAAAACAGAAAGAAACTTCCTCAACATGATAAAAAGCATCTATAAAACAATGTACAGCTCACATCATATTCAATGTGACAGACTGGATGCTTTCCCCCTAAGATCAAGAATAAGGCAAGTATGTGTACTTTCACCATCCTTTCCAACATAAGGACGTTCTAGTTTGTGTGACAGGGAAAACAAAATAAATATAGTTTGGAAAAAAGGAAATAAAAATTTTCCCTTAGTGACTGGTGGTTAGGCAAAGAGTTCTTAAATATGAGATCAAAAGGGTGATCCATAATAGAACTGATAAATTAGACTTTATCAAATGAAACACTTTTGTACTGCTGAAGGCACTGTTAAAAGAAGATACAAGCTACAAATTGGGAGAAAATATCCGTAAGTCAAAATGGAGGTTTTTTTTTTTTCCACAATGTAATTTCTAAGGTAGTCTTTAAAGATCATATGTATAGAGCTTTGCGCAGTGGCAGTATCGTAGCCAATGAGGTTCATCCGAGGCGCGATTATTGCTAATTGAAAGATCATATGTATAGAGACAATATAATACCATGGGAAGATGCTTATAATAGAATATAAAATGAGTTTAAAAACCAGGGCACAAAACTATATATATATATATATATATATACATATATATATATACACACACACACACGTATTATATATGAATATATTCGTATTTTATGTAGTTTATCCAATTTAATATATATTTAATTACTAAAATTTGACAAACATATTTATTTACATTTGCATATAGGTTATATATTATCTTACATATTTTATTTTATATGTCACTATATTAAATGTCTCATACATTTATATATTTAAATATACATACATTAATATAATGTTGATAGTGATTATTCTGAGTAGTGAGTTTATAGGTTGCCTTTATTTAATGCTTTATATTTTTGTCACATTTGGGAGTGTGTCACATATGTAAACATGTAATAGTACCATAATCTTCATGTGTCACATATGTAAACATGTAATAGTATCATAATCAGAAAAATGCTATGCCTTGAGAGTCAAGAGACCTGGTGGCTAGTCACTGTGTTGCCACTAACCAGGTAACCCCAGGCAAACCGTCAAAACCTTCTCCTTCTCAATTCCCTTAGATGTTGAAGGAGGAGTTACATGATACCTTTTCAGGGTTCCCCGCTCTGTTATTTCACAGTTCAGTTAGCAAGCATGCATGAGACACTATACGAGGCAACACAAGATAGAAAAGATGGACTTAATCTCAAGGACCTGAGTGTCTCATCAGGAGTAAACAATGGTCTACACATATTAATCCGTCTAGCATGAGGGAGAATCTGGTGAGTGCCATGAGGGGTTGGTGGAGGAGAAGCCACATCTGGCAGGGTGAGCAGAAACATTTTCATGAAGGAGTTAGCATAATCAGCCTTATCTCTTCCACTCCCAGTTCAGCTGATTTTCTCCTCTATAATTTTCTCAATTGGCTTCCAATTTTATTCCATTAGTCGTTTGGATCATTATTAGTTTTTATTTCAATTTCCTCTGCAGTGAGCCCTGTCAGCAGCCAAAGAGTGACATAAAACCAGTGAATTGGAATCCAAAAGAACAAATCGCAGCTCAGTTAACAAATATGTTGGCTAAATGCCGGCCTCAGTAGGAAACAGTCAGCCAAAATATTTATCAACAGGATTTTAATTCTACAGTTTGATTTAAATTTCTGCTCAGCTGAGTGTGGGGTATATCTAGCTGGTTAACTCCAGAATTCTAATCAAAGGACCTTCAAAGCAGCGAGACAAATATTTGTGTTAGTATTTCAGTTGCCAACTTTAGATGGTATGGCTCTTGAATACCTTCAGACAGCACCCTGAGTCCTTGGCAGCCCTTTAAGAAGTCCCATGGTGTGTTCATTATCTAGCTTTTTGTATTTTGCCACTTGAATGCCCTCACATCCGCAGAGTGGGCTTCTAGAACACAAATTCTGGCTTGTTAATGACCTGGTCTTGGTAGGAAATGCACTTGGAATTGCTTTCCCAGTAGTAATGATACAAATAAGCATTCATACTACCTCAGGAGGGCTTTCAGGTGTGACCATATATGGGGCCACTGACTGTGTCATCCCCTTGGGGAAACTTCTACTTCTCAAGAAGTAGGGTAGCTTCCTGTCCACCTTTTCTGCTGACGCCCTCCTGCCTGCACCTGCATTATGCTTCTGAACATAGTTCTTCCCATCACTAGCTAGTAAGGAGGGGAAATGTTGTCCTTCCAGCTCCTGAGGGAAAAGTGTAGCACCTGCATCACGCTGAGCTTGGAATGGCTAGAGAGGTACCATCAAATTACTGCGCTGAGAAGGGGAGTTAAGTGGTGTCACACAGGGAAGTACCAGAGCTGACAAGAGTATAGGAAATCAATTTTTGGTTCAGATTCCCATGAGGAAGTGACTGCATCTTCCCAAAGGAATATAAACTCCCCCTCCTTTCACTGCCACCACTGCCACTGCTACATAGAAAAAGAACATAGGGTATTTAGATATGCATAGGAATAAAGGCGAAATTATATCACTAAAAAAGTTTAGAAGTCATCCATCATTGTAATGGACATGGAGATACACCACCCAGATCTTCTTTTAGGGAAGGAGTTGTCACCCCTGCAGTTGGGAGTGCTATCGATAGACAGTCCTCAATATCAGCTTCTTTGGAGATCACCTCAGCCCCAGAGCCAGCTATACACCATGGGGTAGGAGACACTATGATATAAAAGAGAAGGTGGTTTCCTGCCATGCTGGGAAGAAATAAAAATTCTGCCTGGAGGGGTATATATAGATATGGATGATATAGATATAGATATAGATCTATATATAGATCTATATCTTAAAAATTCTGCCATATATATATGAATATAAATAAATATATGTATTAGAGAGAGAGAGAGACTGAGAAAGAGGGAGAGAGGGGTGTTGAAACACAATTTGAAGTCTGCCCCATGCCTTTTTCTTCAAGCATAAATAGAATGAAAACCTAGATGGGCTTGGGGCCTTCTTAGAGTGTCCCTGACCAATTTAGGCTACCACAATAGAATAAAAATAGAATAGCATTTTGAATGAGAGGGGAGGGGTAAAAATATATGTTTCGGTTTCCCAGTACCTATAGGTGGTTTGCAGAACTTTCTGCAGGAAATAGAAATAGCTCAAAAGGGCCAATCACCTGGGAAAAAAAACAAAAACCAAAAACCTGCCATTGAGATGATGAGGACATAGACAGAAAGTCAATAGGTACCATGAACATCAGCAGGTGCTGGAGCTCCACTAACGTCCAAGTGGATCCATTTCCCAGGGCACTCAGTACAATGGATATAGACATTTACTTCAGAGGAGACCAGGAAGGATCCAGATGACTGCACAAAAGCCAGCCACCCTTCCTCTCATGCCAGGTAGCTATCTATGCAGTGTCCATCTGAACCCAGGCACCGTACTGGAAAGAGAAGGCTCCTTGAGAGAGAAGAATTCCCTAGATAGGAAGTATGAATTTTGAATTGACTCAATTTAAATCTTCAATTGACTATTTACTCCAAAATGATTGTGTTAACCTAGATGAGACTTATAAACCAGAAATGACAAAGTTACCTCCAGCAGGCAAGTTTAGGGTCATCCCCATCCCCATCAAGCAGAAATGAGGGCTCAGGAGTAAGTCATATTTTGCTGTAGAAAAACAGATCTTTTCACAGTTGAGTTGTCACTGAGAAATTTAAGCCATCTACATATCTTTAAAAGTAACATGAAACGCTTGATTCCACTAGATACACATCTGAAAGGTGCTCCATGATGGGAAGAACAAGAGATGATGCACAATATTTACCCACTGGGCAAATAAGGCATGTAAGAACAATGCACAGCTCAATGAGCTGAGTCCCACAAAATTGCTCCTTTTTTTTTTTTTTTTTTTTTTTTTTTTAATGCAGGGCTTCAACTCACAACCCTGAGATCAAGACCTGAGCTGAGATCAAGAGTCGGACACTTTTTTTTGTTTAAGAGTCAGACACTTAACTAACTGAAACACCCAGGTGCCCCCGCAACATGATTGCTCGCAGACCCAATCTCACCCCTTCCACCAATATGCAACGCTACCTTGGGCTGCCTTTAACCATCTCTTCATCTCAATTTGTCTGCTAGTAAAAATAAGTAGAACCCAATAATATTAATCATAAAACATTTTAAAAAGTGAAATGACAATAATTAGATTCAGAGAAAAACAAATCTTATCTCTACCACCCCTATCTCCATATATGATACCCAATATGATTCTGAGAGAAGGGGGGTTGGCAGTTGCTGACAGAAATCCAGAAAATCTGCAAATTATTTATGCAGAAACTGAGTGGGACAGGGCTTGCTTTTTGAATTATGCATGCTTCTGCTTTATCAAATCCATTCCTCCCCACACATATTATAGGAGTTGTCATCTCTTATTTACACAGCACAGGGTACATTGCTCAAATAAAGAGGGCAAAGCGCTATGGTGCACAGAATAGAGTGTTTACATTGAAAGCGTGAGTATTTATTAATCAATTCTATACATTTTAGTTACATTTTTTAAAGATCATGTAATGTGTGTTGACAATGTCCATGATTTAAAAAAAAAAAAAAAGTCATTTCCTCCCCCGCTATTCAGCAGGCTACTTGGACAAGCAACACATTATTTCTAAACCGTAGTTTCAAGTTTTACACTAGTTTCAGTTTTGTGATCATTCTGAGCTTCATTCTTCTCCTGTGCAAAATGGGGATAACAAGACCTGTTAAGATGAAAAGATAGGCTGTACATATAGCAAATGGTGTGAGTCTAGCATGATAAGGACCTTTTTTCCTTTATCCCTGGGTCACCAGTGTGATCCTCTGCCCTGATTTCCCTAGCCTTGTATTGTTAAAGGAGACCAAGGGGACTTACTGCCATGAGGCCGTTTAAATAGCATGGATTCTTTTTCCCTGACCTGGTCTGAATATGGCCCCAACACACACACAGATGAATAGTGTGAAGACATGGGGAAGGGCAGTGGTATGGAAGCAACACAAAGATATAGGGGGAAAATTAATTGAAAGAACGTTTTTTCCCTCCATTTCCTTATCCTTGATTACCACCTCTGCACAACACCCCCGTCCCTAACCCCCGTGTTGGCCCCAGTCTGTGTTCTAATTACAGCATATACAAATGTCTGCTCATTCTCTAAGGTCTCTGTAACATTTTCTTTGAGTCCTCCAGAAAGACAAAAGCAACTTTTTCCTATAAATGACCCTAAAGGTCTCTGTATGTTCCATATATATATATATGCCATGTTCTCTTATTTCAAACCCATTCTATCCACCAAACTGTGGCTCCTTGAAATTGATATTGTAGTAAAAAATAATTGTTAACATGTTATTACTGTTAACTATATGCCAAGCAAATAGTTTTAATAGATATCTTATAAAATATTCAGAAGTCATTGTTTTAGATACTATTATCATCCCCTTATCTACAGATAAGTCGATGGAGGCTCAGAGAGGATAATGGACAAAAGATCATAGATCCATGAAAGAAAAGGGTAGGTATTTGGGTCCAGGCTGTCAACTCAGTAGCCTAAGCATTA